TCTAACACACTTTTAGTGGAGCTATGAACTGGTCCAGCCATTCTGGAAAGCTATTTAGAACAATGCCCCCAAAGCTAATAAACTACATATCCTTTCAAGTACCAATATCACTACTAGGTCTGTGCCCTGAGGAAATCAACGAAAGAGGCAAGAGGACCCTTATGTGCAAAAATATCCATAGCAGTTCTATTTGCAGTGGCAAAGAATTGGAAATGAAGGGGATGCCCATTAAAACGGGGAATGACTGAACAAAGTACATGAATGTGATGAAATAATAATGTGCTGTAATAAATGGTGAATAGGATGGTTTCAGAAAAACCTGGAAAGATTTGTGTGAACTGATACAGAATGAAGTAAACAGGGCTGGGAGAACAATTTACACAGTGATGATATTATGAAAGCCATTTGCCTTTGAAAGTCTTAGAAACTCCCTGATAGAGAAATGATAGCCTCAGAATGAAGATTGAGACATACATTTTTAAACATGGTCAGTGTGGACATTTGTTTTGATTGATTATACATGTATCCAACAGGAAATTTCATTTTTCTTGTTTTCTCAAAGTGGCAGTGAGGCATGAGGGTGAGGGAAAAATAGGAGGAAAAGAAGTTGAATCTTCATTTGAAGAAATAATTAAGAATAAAATAAAAACAGAATCTGACTTAGGTTTGAAGTCAGGTACAATTTCCTAACAATAAGAACTGTCCAAAGGTAGAATGGACTGCCTAGAAAGGTGGCTCACCCATTTTGGAATTCAAGCAGAAGCTGGATCACCACTTTTCAGGTATATTATGGTGGGAACCCTTTTAGTGTATGAATTGAACTAGGTAGCTACTGAAGTCCCTTTAATTATCTGATTCTGAGATGATGGGAGGTAAAATTTTCCACATAGGAATGTTTAGTCTAGTACCCTTTTCACTTTATTCTATGCATAATCAACCTTGTAATCAAAGCATGCCAAATCTATGAATGTAGTGGGAAGTGTATTGAGAGAAAACAACATATAAAAATATATAGAGTAGTCATGCTAGGTAGAGGTCACAAATTTTATATTTTAATATCTTGAGCAATAATTTATTTCATGTGTTGGATTAATTTTATATCTAGCCAGTGAAGAGTCAATGGAAGTAACTTCAGTAGCACTTGCAGGGACTTGTGGTAAGATCAGTATGCATGTTTTTATGCTCATTATACTCTTATGGCTAGTGGGGATAATGTAACCTCTTAAGAGTCATCTATCTTGGTACATCAGATTGATTTTTCTTTTTGACTCGGTAAAGAGGCCATTGTCTGCCTCATTTCTTACCTAGCCTTAATCACTTACTCAGTCAAACTGAGACACATTAAAGACCTTGGCTTAAAAAGGCCAAGGTTTCCCACTGCATCCAGGGCCATCTCCAGTCGTCCTGATCTATATCTCCTCACTGGACCCAGATGGCTCTGGAGGAGAAAGTGAGGCTGGTGACTTTGCACAGCCCTCCCTCACTTAAATCCAATTCACTGGCATGTCTCAGCATCACCTGCCTCATGTCGTGGTCCTCTTCGAGAATGAAGGAACAAACGACAGCAATAACAACAATCTTGGTGTATACACTGAGGAGAGAATAACTGACTGGGTCTGGGCTGATGACTCAGGTAGAACACCATCCAGTGGGCAATTCTGATACTGTATTCCATAGCTGCATGATAAACACAGTGACAACCTACCACATTCACAGACTTAATAAGGGTAGCATTCAAGCTGTACAACCTGGGGGGCAGAATCATATTTACAACTCTCCTTAGGCTGACAGAGGGACTGGAAAAGGAAAAGCAGTCAGAAAAGAATAAGGAGAATTAATGAAATATCTTAACATGGCAACCGAAAAAGTAGAAAGTACCATGAATTACAGATGTGGTCAACAACGTTAAATGTTGCAGTGAGGTCAAGCCAGACTGTCTGGGATTCAGTTCCATTTGATTGAGCATGGGGCTGAGAGAATCAACAAGCAATAACTACTTCCTCAAGGACTTGATTAGAGGCAGAGTAGTAGAAGTAGAAGAGCAAGTGTGCTGATAATCGGCTTGACTTGGAGGAACAGATAGAACAAGTCTGCATAAGTCCTTGTTCCCAAATCAGACTTTATCTGAAATGTTCACGCAGGGGCTGAGTGAACAACCGTAAGGTTATACTGCAGATGTAATTTCTGCATGAGGTGGGAGGTGGCCTTTAGTGACTTCAAACATTCCTTACCATGCTAAGATTTTAATGCTGCAGACACATACTTTAATTTAAATCCAATAAAACCTATAGGTTTTGTGCACCTTTGCTCCTAAAGAATGATTAAAGTGGGCAAGTTAAAGTAGGTAGGGCAACGTTCCCTAAACCACATATTCTTTTTGTTGCTGTTTGGTCATTTTTCAGTCATTGCTGAGTTTTCGTGACCCCATTTGGGGTTTTCTTGGCAAAGATACTGGAATGGTCTGCCATTTTCTTCTTCAGCTCATTTTACAGGTGAGGAAACTGAGGCAAACAGAGTGAAGTGACTTGCACAGAGTCACATAGTTAGTAAGTGGTCTGAAGCCAGATTTGAACTCATGAAGATGAGTCTTCCTGACCCTATGCCTGGCTCTCTATCCACTGCACCACCTAGCTACACTCATGCAACCTTACAAAAAGTTATGGGATGATAGCAACAGGAGAGGAGGTATCCACAGATAAACAGATCCAATACAACACCTCATAGCCCATGTCTCTCATTGAGTCCTATTCTAATTGTGTGGTGACCTTACTTTTACACACACACACACACACACACACAGAGTGTATTTTCCTCTTTGTCCACCACTTTCACTCTAGACTTCACTGAAGCCACACTTCTCTTGAGTATTTCTTCAAAATCTCATCTAAGTAGATAGATATAAAGTAGTGCTTTCTTTTCTCACCTCTCACTTTCAGGAAATGCCATCTACACACAAATTAAACTTATTCATTTTCAGAACATTTTACTTGTCACCATTTACGTATTCCACTTCTAATCTATGTATTCTCTCCAAAGTATGCCTGGTCATTCTTTTATACATTTGTTCTCATCAACATTTTTGTTTTGGATTGTAAATTCTTTTTATGTTTTGTGTGTTAACAGGCAACAAAACATGGTGCGTGCAGGGCCCTTAATAAACACTTACAGGTGTGAACAATTCCAGGTGGGAGGGCTTCGTATTTATCTTCCAGACCAGTGTTAGTTGAAGACGCAAAAAGAGGAAAGTGGGAATCCCTCTGGGCACTTCAGATGCAGATACCTCAAAAGTTTTCACACCTCTTGCTCTACAAGCAATTGCGTCTTTACGAATGTGGACTTTCATTCAAAAGAAATGACACAACCTTCCTTCTACAGTAACTCATTCCTTTAGAGTAAAGCAGTTTTGATTTGCCCCAAGCTCTCAACTCGGGCTACTGTTAGCCCAGTATTCTTGCCTGACTCTCTGAAGGTTTGTTTCCATCTGCCCCTCTGGAGAGGAGAACCTCTGTGCCTTTGGGACTGGGTCGGAAGGTCACACACCCCAGTCTCTCACTCAGTAGGACGCAGTCCCCTTACCTTCCCACCACTTCTTGGCCTCAAGAACTACTACCCAGACAAATAGAGCAGGAGGAGAGGAGTCCTCTTAATTAGAACCACACCTGGTCTCTCCTTTTGGACTTTTTTTTTTAATTCTTCCGGAGGGGGAGGGGTAGCTTTGTAAGGAGTTGGGAGGGATGCCAGTGTTGCCCCTCCCCCACTTCCCAAAGGTACCTACTGCCCCCAGGCCCAGCCCTATGGGGCGTTTAGGCTTAGTCTCGCCCCCTGATCCCCCGTGCTAGGTGCTAGTCCCACACCTGCCCACACGGCCCCAGGGCTTCATTAGGAGCCTCCTCTGCAGCACTATAGAGAAGAGGAGGAGAGAGACTGGGCGAGGGGAGCTTCGGATGATGGAGCCAACTGCAGGAACTACCAAGGAGCCCCGGAGTGAGCGAGGTGGGGACAGGGGAGTGTAAGAACGAGGGGGAGTGGGTGGGAACGAGGTGGGGAGGTGAAAAGAGTGGGAAATGGAGAACTCGGGACAAGTGACCAGAACAAGAGGACCTCCCTGGTGATAGGGAAGAGGAAGCTCTTTTCAGTATCCTCTAGGGCTCAAGCAAAGGACTACGGTCGGGTAGGTAAATGAGGTGGAAAGATAGGGACAGTTACCTTTCCTTTTAATATTTCTATCCACAAGTGGCACAGGACCCAATAACTTAGCAGAGTTAGTCTGGCTTTGAGTAAGGCTCATTTTCCCTTTCCTTTGGATCCTTTCATATCCTTACCTTCACCACCTGACCATTTCTCCCTTCTCTTCTCCTTCCCCAATCATAACCTCTTTGTGTAATAAAAGATTCCCTATAAAGATTAGGAGGTTCAAAGAGAGATAGGTACTCCCAAGGCAGAGCCACCTTCCTAAATGAGCCCTCAAGACTCACCTTGTGAGGGGCAGTGGATAGAGCACCGGCCCTGAAGTTGGGAGGACCTGAGTTCAAATGCAGCCTCAGACCAAACACTTGTCACTTACTAGCTGTGTGACCCTGGGCAAGTCACTTAACCCCAATAGCCTAAAAAAAAAAAAGACTCACCTTGTGAAGTTAGTCATGTCTACATCCCCACAGGCCAGAAGGCTCAAAAAGAGAAGCTGACTGTGGGGCCAGAGAGGGAGGTGTTGTTCTGGGGTCCAGTACCCCCAGTCCAAGATGCCCAGAGTGAGGAGCTACTACTGTCCTGTATTGTCTCGGTGGGAGGGAGGGGGAGTCACAGAAAGCTCCTAGGGAGCTGGCTGGAGCTGACGTCTGTATGGGAAATGAATCTAGGGCACCCATCCTCTCTCCTAAGAAATGGGATTGTACCCCTGCCTGAATCACAGAAGTTCCCAGAATTGGTGGGTGGAAATATTCTCCAAATGGGTGAGGTAGAACTGGAGAAGAAGGTTTACCCTCTGGTCCTATAGAGACAGAATGACCCTGAATACCCCAAGACCATCAGATCAGGTCTCATCTCATGGGACCGGTGGGGCCCCAGACCCAGGTGCTACCACCCAACCCTTGGTGCAGTGTGGAACAGGCAAAGGGGCTTGCCATTTGACAGCCCTGCTCAGCACAACTGCAGCAGGGGAGAGCAGCCAGAATGCAACCAGGAAGAAGGAGCCCCCAGACACACCTCCACAAGTCCGGAAAAAGACCCGTACCCTTTACCGTACAGGTGAGTCCAAACAGATTTTACTTCCCCAGAGGGTAAGAAATCTTAATTTCACTTCATTTGGGGGTGGGTAAGCCTAGATCAAGAGTGTAACTCTAAGGGACGTGGTTACTTTGTGACCTAATCTTTCCTGCCTCTAGCATCCCAGATGTTCCTATACCTCTTCCGTACCATGGGTGAGGAGTAGGCCATTTCAGATGTTAATTTTAAGGGAACAGGAAATTTCATCCTGATAGTGGGATGGTCAGGACGTCGACTACATCTATGGACACAGAAGGGGATCATCCTAACCTTATTAGCTGATGCAACTAAGCTTCCTGTTTTCAAGGCTGGATCAGACAATTGTGTAAGGATTGTAGTGTCATAGACAGCCTCATACAGTAGGGCACTGGCCTGAGAATCGGGAGACCTGTATTCTGCATCCAGCTTTGTCATTAACTAGTTGCATAATTTTATAAGTCGCTTATATGTTTATAACATGTGATAAGTTAATTTTTTATGTATGGGCCTCAGTTTCCTCAGCTGTAAAATGAATAGTTTGGACTTAATTACATCTTTTCACCCTTTATATCCTACGATTCTCTCCTTCTCCAAATCAGTGATTCTCAGTTTCTAGTATGGATCTTCTTTCTTCTTCCAGACCAGTTGAAAGAGCTGGAGAAGATGTTTCAGGAAGACCATTACCCTGACAGTGACAAACGCCGGGAGATTGCCTTGGCTGTGGGGGTTACACCCCAGCGCATCATGGTGAGGGAAGGTAGAGAAAAATTCACTCATCTGCAAACTAGCAGGGGCAGAGGGGAAGGAGTTGTTTCTATAATAGAGTAGATATATACTTTAGATTTGGGTAAACCTCAGATATGGTGCTATCTCTAATTTTCTCGCATTTCTCTGTGTCCTTTCTTGTCTTTGTCTGTTAGTCTCTGACCCTCTGTGTCTTCCTCTTCCAGGTGTGGTTTCAGAATCGAAGAGCAAAGTGGCGGAAAGTAGAGAGACTGAACGCAAAGGGAAACAAGACCAACCTGGAAGCACCTGTCCCTCCGACTGCCCCTTCGGACAGTCATCTTGGGTAAGAGTTCTTTTTGATCTCTATCACTTCTAGAGGAAGCAAGAACTCCCTTTCCCGGTACTGGGGAACTGAGCCTAGACCTTGAAATCAAGGCTTTAGTTGTTCATTTGTTCTGTCCCCAGCTCTGCCCCTGAGCTCCCATCCCCTCAACCCATAGTCATGGAGCCAGGAAACTTCACTAATGAGCTGGTGCCTCCACCTGCCACTTTTCCTCCAGGTGAGTTACCTTCTTGCAGGAAGGGGACATGGGCCCAAGAGGGGAATTTATATTTGGGATGGTTGGCAATCATGAGGAGTCCTCTCCCAAAGCACTATTCCATGTGAAATTGTCATGGGTAAAGACCCAGAATAGTCATCCATTGCAGTCCATCACTTCAGTCCCCTTGCATCTCAGCATCCTCAGACGTGTTCATCATTCCCCTACCTGTGTATATGTGGGTTTTTTTCTCCTTAGAGTCTAACCTACTACTGACATGTGACCAGCCAATGACTTTGAGTCAACACAATGATGAGGCTCAAAGAGGAGAGGTAGCTCCTCTCCTCCTTAGCCCTCCACCTGTCCGAAGGGCCAGCCTTCCCTTGACCTTGGGTCCTGCTCACACCCCACACCTGGTACCCCTCCTGCTGGAAACACCCAATAGTGGTTTTATCTCTAAGGATGGCTCCTATGGATCTTGGGAAACAAGGTATGAGGGATATTGGAAGACAAGGGGGATTCTTAAATGATAGAAGAGGAGAAGGATGCTACGGGTCATGGGGCAGAGCAAATGGTACTTACGGACTAAGTAAAGGAAAGCCTCTAAATCAGAAAGTCTCCTGAGATCTGAGTACTCACAATTGGGGAAGAGTGAAGGAAATATAATCAGAGAGGATGAGCCACTAGAGAGAGCTATGAAATAAAGAATGAAATCACTGCAGGGGTAGAAGTAGAGAAAGAAGGTGGGGTTCAGGTCAGAAAAAGTGTTTTAGTGTTAAGAACCTCGATCACAAAGTCAGGCCTAAGGTCAAGTTTTTGCTTTCATATTTATTAGCTTTTTGACCAGGGACAAATCACTGGAGCCTTTATAGAATCGAGTTCCCCATTTGTAAAATGGGGACAATGATATTTATCTTCCTCACAGAGTTGTTACAGGGAAAGAAAGCACTAAGCTGCTATGTTAAAGGTGATGGTTGTTTCTATTATTCTCATGTATTGAATCAAGCTATATTACCCTGACACATTGCCCTTCTTGTTTCCCCAGCATTAACCCACCAAATGCTTACAACTATTCTGAGCAAATGGAATCCCAGTATCATCATCAAGGCAACCAGTCCAGAGCCTTCCAGCTCTCCCACTATCCCCAGCACCAGCTCTTCCACCAATCCCAACACCACCTACCCCAGTTCCATCCTTTCTCCTTTCCTCTCCCCAGCACACTGACCCCCCCTCCACCAGGAGACTCTAATGCTGCTGCCCTCCTTGCATTTTCCTATGGTCGTGATGGAGAGACCTCAACAGGATTGTTTTCAGGTACTCCAGTGGGGCAGTTTCTGTTGCAGCAGCCTACTGGGAGCTTGGGTGAATGAGAGGATAGGAGGAAAGGATAGAATTTGGAAGCAGAACTAGGGGGAAATGAGGAATCAGGAAGAGTAGAAATTGTGATCATTATCTGTAAAGAGGGATGATGAGGCTAAGAATATGGGGTTTGGAATAAAGAAGGAATACTTGAGGAGGTCATTTTCCTTTTCCCTAATACCCTTCCCAAAGGCACCTAAGTGGAAAAGTAGTTAAGATATTATCTTGAAGTCAGAAGACCTCAGTTTGAATTCTACCTTGGATATTAACTATGTAACTCTGAGCAAATTACTTAACCTCTGTTTACTTCAGTTTTCTCTTCTATAAAATGGGAATAATAATAGCATATATAATAGCAATCTTACAAGGTCATTATGAGGATCAAATGAGGATGTATATAAAGTTCTTTATTAAACTATTATTATTGTTATCATACCTTGCTGACTTTAGGCCGTTCTTTGTATTTTTTTCCCCATAAGGTTGTGTAGACCCTAGTCAGATGTCAGTTATGTAAACATCTATTTTTCTGTTATCTTTCATGTCAAACCCTGGGCATGATAATCCTTGCTGGGATTTAGAATTGGTGATGGAGGAACCCCCCCCCCCCCAACCAAGGGTCATCTTCTTTCTTTTCTAGATCTTTAGTATTTAATAATGTATAGGCTATTTCCTGTCCTTATTTATATCAGGGTTTTCAGAGCTTTGGGTTTCTAAGGGCAGGGGCTCATCATTGTTGGAATTCATAGTATTGGGGGAATATACAATTCCAGGTTAGGTCTCTAACCCAGTAATTACAGCTAGACCTCTTTCCAGAGTACATATTTAAACTAGTAGGTTCATGTGGCCTGACTGTCTGACCTGTTTCTGAATGTTTGGATACCCTCAGGTCCACTCACATCCCTACAACCTATTCCTTGGAATGATCCCTGTTTGCCAGAGCTGTCATTCCCGGGTTCACTCTGCTCCCAGAACTTTGGGCACCACTCTGGAGGAGGGAGCTACATACCTGACCTGGCTGCCCATGTCTTGGAGAAGCAGTCTTCACCAGGCTTCATCCAGCTTCTTGGAGGGTCTAAAACAGGCACTGGGCTGCTCGAGACTCAGGAAGAACTATCTTCGAGCACTCAGGAGCAATTATCATTGCCCAAGGAGGTCAGAGATGGAGTCAAGAACACTCGCCTCTCCAGAGTTGCTCTTGATGGAGACAGTAAGTAAGACAATATTGTTGGGGTGGAGGGAAAATTTTTCTAGCCTCACTGGGGAAAGAATCACAGTATTTCAGAGTTGGTAAGGACTTCAGCATCCATCTAATTTAACTGATAGCCCTTAAAGAATCTCCCCTATGAAACACCTAACTAGGTGGTCATCTACCATTGCTTAAATATTTCCATCGAGAAAGAATCTCTTGCCTTTTAGGCCAGTGATTCTACTCTGAAATAGCTATAAGTATTAAAAGAAAACCCTAAACTTCCATGGAGGACCTGGATATTTTTATGCCCGAGTGAGCTTGATGGTTTGGATATTGAGGAGAGATATTTAAAGGAGAGGGATTGAGCCCAGAATAAAACACACCATTTCTTCCCCCCACCCCTTTTATGCAGGTATTCCAGAAAAGAATGAAGACTGAGAGAGAAAAGAAGAGGTTTCCTTAGCATAACTTCTGGACGTTATGTGTTGAGTTATTTCTATGTTGTTTTGCTTCTGAGAAGAGTTGATTCAGGACACCTGACTTAAGCAATAAAGTTATCTAAATTAAGACTTCTTTCTTTGATTATATTTCCCCCTACACCCAATCCTAATCCATGAAATTTGTCCAAGTTCAAGAATAGCAGCTCATTTCCAATGAGCCTAGAATTTGTTTAGAGCTGCCCAGATACAAGTAATAGTTTTTAGGATTTCCCTTGTTGACCTGGAGCTTGGTATGTTTTCAAAACCCCTTTGCCTATTTCAGTGATTGAGGAAAAGCCTATGATCATAGGCCTTAACTTTAAGTGTGTGAATGAAATGATACCACCCCTATGCATGAGACACCTTTGGAATGGGACATAAGGTCTACCCATGTCACATTTCAGAGACACAAAACAGATTTGGAGGTTTCTTCCCTGTCTATTGTGTCCCTGGGTCCTACTGATAATAGTCCTCAGGAGAATCAAAAGAATCATTCCATGGCATCACAATTTGAATTTTGTAAAAGATCTTTGCAGGGCAGGGAGATATTGGTGAAATCTCTCCTAGAGAAGTGGTCATAGCTAATCTCTGGGCATCAGAGACCATCTTCCCCCCAACTCTTAAATATTCACTTCCCTAAACTATAGTAGGCTACTGCAGTCAAACTACATGATTGACTATAATAATATAAGACTCCAATGGTGTAGAATACTGCACCAAAGTTCACAGGCCTTGCTGGACCTTCACAGGGTCCTCTCTTAGGCTTAGTGCCATCAGGAAGGGGAAGGGGACAACAGCAAATGAGAGATGATTCAAAATGGGATAATGAGTGCTTTTTTTGCCCAACCTCTATCAGAAGAGAAAGGGCAAAGAAACTGGGTTTAAACCTAGGTGGATCCCTGTCCTTAGGCAAACTTTCCCCTTCTTTCCTTTTTACTGGGTAAAGTACTTCCTCTATTCTAGGCCAGGCTGGAGTGGCTTTTTCCTACCATTAAGAGATTGGTGCCACTTAAACTGTGGTAGTAGTATGAGGGGATATGGGTAACAGAAAGCAGACCTCACTGGCTCTTAACTTGTGACCACTACTTCAGTCATCCATTCTTTTGAGTTTTTTCCCCTCATTTCTATACCCTGTTTGGACCTGAAAATCCCTATCCTAGGATTTCCAAATTTATAGGAGGCTTCCATTCTTTGGTTTCAGATAGAAATGTGGTACATGGGAAAGGATGCTAGCAGAGTTTCTTAGCTCAAATCATAGCCCTGTTATTTGCCTAGCTATGTGGTCTTTGGTAAGTGACAGACTCTAGGCCTGGCCATCCTCGTCTGTAAAATGAAGTGGTTGGACTAAGGTCTCTTCCTTTCTAAAGCTAAAGAAACCAGTAAGGAAAGAAGGGCAATGGGGAGGAGAAACGGTTTAAGAGAAAAGAGGCAGGGAGCAGAGAATAAGAAGACAGATGGATGAATGAGAGAACTAGGAATCCAGTTTATGAGATAAGGGAGACTTAAGAGCAAAAAAGGAAACAGGAAGATGGACAATTACAAATACTGGATGAACAAAAAGGAAAGGAATAAAAGCATGGGTGTGACATGAAACAGACAATGAAAAGGAAATGAGAGAGGGAAGAAAGATGGGAGGGAATGGAGTAGGGGTATAAAAGGGAATAGGAAAATGAGTGTGAGTAGAAATAGGAAGACTGTGTGAGACAGGGAAATATACTTGAACAGTTATTATTTGTCCTTCATTTTTGAAGAGGACCATGCAGGGAGGTGATGCCATGACATGCAAGTAAATTGTATTTAAGTGAGGGAGGGCTGTGCAAAGTCACCAGCCTCACTTTCTACTCTGGAGCTATCTGGGTCCAGTGGCCAGATATGGATCAGGACAACTGGAGATGGCCCAGAATGCAGTGGGGGCACCTGAACAGTAAATGGAAAGAGGTAAGAAAATAATTGTCAGGACTACAGGGAAAGGGATATGGGTGAAACAGAAGACTGCTTAGTAACATTTAGGTTACAAAATGCTCTCAAAATTTCTTAACTCATTTGATCCTCACAATCACAAAGCATGTAAAACAGGTAGCCTCATTTTACAGATAGGGAATCAGCCAGTTGTGTAACTTCTAACAAGTGGTTTAACGTTTCTCATTGTCAAAATGGTGAACATTGTCTTCTGACTCCAAATCCACCGGTCTTCTAATCTCACCAGAGAACAGAAAGAAAAGTCTAATAACAGAATGAGATGAGCATCTAAATAAATAATTGTGGAATGGGACCACAGAAATCAAGGTACTAGAGAAATTTCTAAGATGTACTTGAAAGAGAGGAAAAGGTGAACCCACGAGGATAGAGGGAGAAAAGTACAAAAAGAAACTAAGAGCTATGAAACTAGCTCAATTCGAGAAGGGCAAATGGAGAAAAAATGCTGAATTGATGAGAAAATTTAGCATTAGAAAGAAAAAAAAAGAGCAAGGAAAATGAAGGTATGACCTGTAATCAGAAGAGAAGGTTGAGCAAGAAAATGGAGGTATCTGAACCAAAAACTGAAAGGGCCATGGGTCATGAGAATTATTTGTCTTACCCAGTGGAAAACCACATGTGTGAACTAGAAATTGTGTCTGCAAATTGTTTATTTTGCCATGGATTACCCTAGCCCACTACAATTCAGAACTCCTAAGCTCAAGAGGTCCAACAGTCTCAGCCTTCCTGGTAGCAGGGATAACAGGTGTGTGCCACTGTTCTGCTAACTTGGGATGGTCTCTTATGAAGAAGTCAACCTAAGAAACATAATGGGAAGTTTTCTTGGGGTGTATATGTGTGTGTGTGTGATTGGAGAGGGAGGATTGTGGTTAACGAATTATTCAAAGTTACTATGTTCTTATAGGAAGTTGAATTGTGGATGAGAACTAGGGTGTATCTATGCTAGAGAAAATGATTACAGGTCTTGGTCCTGACCAGAAGCCAAACAACATATTCACTATACAAGGGTATTGCCCAAGGCTCTCTTGTGACCCCTTCCTTTCTCTTTTTCACATTATACTATCTCATTTGGTGATATGATCCGCTTCTAATTGCATATTAGACATCTGGAACTGGAAGTCCAATGGGTATCTCAAACTCAACATATCCAAAAGATATTTCATTATTTTTCCACACTAAATCTTCCCCACTTTCAAACTTCTCTTTCATTGTTGAGGGCACCATCATCCTCTCTATCAACCCAATCTTGATATCATCTTTGACTCCTTATTCTCATCTACATATCCAATTCATTGCCAAATCTTATTGTTTTTACCTTCACAACTTCTGTATGTGTTCCATTTTCTCCACTCAAATAGTCACAACCCCAGTTCAAACCCTCAGCACCTCTCTCCTGGCCTACTTCAAGAGCTTTCTAACTGGCCTCTCTGTTTCAAGTATATCCCTATTATAATCCTCCTCCAGTCAGCCGCTGAGGTGATGTTTTTCCTAGATAGAGTAGATCATTTTTCACCCTTCATCCCATCTTCATTAGCTCCATTGACTTCCTTTTACTTCTAGGATCAAATTTAAACTCCATTGTAATTTAAAACTCTTCATAACCTGAACTCTTCCTAACTTTCCAGTCCTTCTAATGTGTAATTCCCCTCTACATTCTGATACAGCCACATGGTCCTACTTGCAATTCTTTGAATATGAGAGTCCATCACTCGTCATCTTGTCTTTTGCTTTATTTGGCCCCACAGCTTGGATTAAAGCAAAGACCTTGCTTCTGGAATTTATGGTAAATTGATAGTCAGGATGCTGATTAAACAAGAGCTTTATAATTATGTAGTACAACAAGCAGGCAAAAAATACACACATATGCACTACATGAAAAACAGAGATTCATCCCTGTAGATACAAGAAACTCACCCATTGTTAGGGAGAGAGAGAGAGAGAGAGATGTCAGGGAGGAAATGCTCTTACCTTTGGGGTGTAGGTGGCAAACATATATCCTAAGACTGGGCTTGATTAAGAATATGTAATTGGCACTAAATTGGGAGAGGGCATTCCTAATCAGACCCAAAAATGATGGAGAAGTTCTGAGGACCATTTGTCAATACTTGGCTTGGGAAAGTGTTTAGTTTATTTATTGGAACCAGGAACTAAGAGAGGATCTAAGTGAACTATCTAAGGCAGGAGAAGAGAATGACTTAAGTCCTGCACAGTTGATCAAGTTTCATTCAAACAAAAGCTGAGAGTGTTAACTACCTGATACAAAGTTAACAGAGATCAGAACGGTGGAAAAGTATAAACTTCATCTGTCTTTGTCTATGAGCTTTAGGGACATCAGGACCACTTAACTTACGACTCTAGATTGGAGTCCTATCATTATAACTAAAACATCAAATAATATAAAATGTACAATTATCATGCCTTTGTACTGCATGTCACCTATGCCTAAAATATGCTACCTTCCCAATTCTGCCTCTTAGTTTCCCTGGCTTTCTTCAAGACACAGCTGAAACACCACCTCCTGCTGTAAGTCTTTTTTTCCAGGTTCTCTCCAGCTGCTAATGCCTTTCTCTTTCAGACTATTTTCATATATTCTGATATTTTTAAAATAATTACTTGTTTTTCCGTACCATTAGAAGTTATCCTCCTTGAGAGCAGGGGCTGCTTTGACTTTTTTTAAAATAGATCTGCAGCACTTAGCTGCCTGGAGTACCTGGAGTTAGTAAAACCTTAATAAATGCCAAGTTTGACCTGGACTGATTCACTAATCAGAAATCCACCCCCCTTCTTAATAAGGTGCCAAAAGGCAACTCCACATTGTTCCAAAGATTCCAAATCAAAAGTTTCATTTCCCTATACATTCATGAAGTTGAACTCATCAAGAGAACTCCTTTGATCAACCCTTTACAATTGTTCAACTTCTTGAGACTAAGGTCTATGTAATAGCTATCTTTGCTCCTCCCTCCCCACACACCCATGTCTAGCATAGTGGTTTGCACATGGTAAATATTTAAGAAGTATTTCTTGAATTGAAATGTCAAGTAATCAGTACTATTGAAAAAAAAACCAGATA